CGTAGGCTGTCTCTTATACGCATCTAGATGTGTATAAGAGACAGATATATATATGTTGAGAGAACAAATTAGACGGGCTTTGGTCTCAAGATATTCAGGTGAACAGACTGTACTGTGAGAACGTAAACAATTGCCAATAATATAGGCCTACAGTTTTAATAGTAAATTAAAATCCATAAGCAACTGTGTTTTATTTCAGGTTATTTTACTGTAAATATATTAATATCATTATTCATCTTAAGACATAGTTATAACTGTCACCAACAAAGTGATGGCTTTAATAAAAAATCAATGTTATGCAAAATGTATTATAAACAAAATTGTCATCAGTTTTTGAAATACTAAAGACTGTTGGTGTTATTTTGTTATAAAAATGATAAAAACGTCTACTTTTTGGATTAAAAAATGTTTGTTGTTTGATATACAGGATTATGATATGACACTGTCTTTGGACGAATTTGTAAAAATCGACAGAGAAAAAATTTTATTGCGGCACGTTGAAATGTTACCATATGCGCTCATTGTAGCGTGTTAAAGGTAGCTAATAATGCAAACGAAGTTAATCTGAGCTTGAGAATGGAGCACGCATTCTTTAATGCTCGGATATATCGTTTGCAATGCCACCGAGATAATGGTAACGAAAGTCTTATTTGCTACAAAATTATGGAAAGGCTGGTAATTATCCTACGCATCCATTATAACAGATGTGATAGAAATCTTCCGCAATACGTTCAATGATGTTCATATTTACAAAAAAAAAAAAAAAAAAAAAAATACCTCTCGCTCTAGTCCACTATCCCTCACAATGTTGTAACTACATGGAAAGGGGTAAGTTTTTTTGTTTTTTTCTCCACCTAAGAGTTATGTTCTGGTATAATGCTCTGGAAAGGCAGTAGACCAGGGATGCATGGCGAACTTTCCGTGGGGCCCAAAACTCAAGGAGAGGGGAAGTCCTGCTTGTGAGCTTAAAGCTTTAGTATCAATTAAATAACAATTATTATATTAATGATATTAATAAATAATAGGCCTAGTAGGCCTACAGTATTTTTTATTTATATCAAATATTAATTATTATTAGTAGTAGTATTTTATTTACCTTTTATTATAACGCCTTTCCTTGCGGTTAGAACGTTATTGAAACCACTCGCCTCAACAATGTCTATCCTCATAATAGCAAAGTTTAATAAATAAAAGTATTATTAATTAAAAATTGTTGATTGTTGCTTATCATTAAATTTAGGGATTGAGGGCGCTCTCACCAATTATTCCAAAAGTACTGCGTAAACGAATAGGCGTTCCTCTGGCTAAATCCATTACCATATTTTTTATACTTGCAATTGTGTAAATGAGAATAAATGACGTTTTGAATTTGAAAAGATAACTATCGCAATGGCTCCTATATATTAAGGCTCAACAAGAGGCTCTTTATGATAAACAGGATGCAATCTCTAGAGGCTAATCAACATGATAATGTTTAAATTCGTTTTTCCACCTTGAAACAGATCGTTGACCATTCAAAAATAAGTAGGATTGGAAAAACAACTAACTTAATTTTATGAGATAGGAATGACATTAGGAATACTAGTATAGGCTAGCGTTAATGTTCGGCAATCAAACACCATTTGAAAGTGCAAAGAATCGTTGAATAGCCTATTAAACTTGCAAATTAAATCGTTTCAGAGTATATATATCTCCCCTCTCTAGAGAATTAAAGAAATATCAGTTTTAAAATGAGTTTTGAAATTTAAAGCCGATTTTGGACAATGCAACTCAGTTGCTTCACGGAGTTTGTGGAGCTCTGGCGGTGGCTGTTATTGGGGGCCCTAATAAGCGAGCATTAAGTTTGCGAGAGGAGCCAACAAACAGACGCTGGGGTCCAGGGGGCCTAATGGCCCCCGGTTGGGTCAGAGGCCCCCTCGCGCTCAGAGCTTATGGCATTTACTGGGTTGTCAGAGAACATAGAATGGTCCAAAAAAACTGCAGCGATCGTTTAGGTAGCCCTATAATGCGGTTTCTGTATAATGATGCCAGGCTAGTGTATTTTCGATTTTTTAAATTGTCGGGGCTCCAATGAATGAAACTATGGTGTTATAAGAAAGTATAATACATACTCCAAGTATTGGAATACACGCCATCGTGTTGGGATTCAATATTTCGACATTAATTATGTCATCATGGTGATGACATAATTAATGTCGAAATATTGAATCCCAACACGATGGCGTGTATTTCAATACTCGGAGTATGTATTATACTTTCTTAACTGAGATTAATCAGTGGACCTTTCGGTTTTTTATGGTGTTATAGTTTATATTATATATTTTTTTAAACTACAATGCCGGGCGCCTTGTGCCTGGAGGCCCTGGCGCTCCGCCCCCGTCAGCGCCCGAGCGTGACGCCACTGATGCGATTCAATGGTCATTCGAATTAACGCGAACACCCACTTGGATTTAAAATACCATGGTGCGTAAAAGTTCATTCCAGTAGCGTATCAAGAAATATTGACATGGGGAGGGGGTGGTGTGGGAGCGAAGGTTGAGTGGGGCTCGATGGAGTTTTAGTTGGTAAAATAAAGTGAAATGAGCTAACTTAACTACTTTAGCGTATTTTACTTTTTTAAGCAAGAAGGACGTAACGTCTACGGTGCAAGCATTTGGGGAGGGGTGCACACCGCACCCAAGCCCCGTATACGCCAATATTAACTCTCAAAGTAGTACCGTAACATGCATTAATAACGAGTTAGCCTCAACTGCACACGATTATTTATGTGTGATAAACAGAGTGTTATGGGTTGACTATTTTTAAGACATCGTAGGTTTGCATCCATTTATGATCACTTTTCGTTGTAGTTCGATTGTTGCAAAATGGGGGTTTAATTAGTATAAATGCGTGCTTAGCGCTTCATTAACTTGAATGGTAATTTATGTTTACACATGATTTACCTTCACCATGACTTGTACTTAATTGCACCCGCACACCTCCATACCCCGCACATAACGATTTTACTTTATAAAATACACAAGTACTAAAATATAAATTATACAAAAAATGATCACCGCTCTGCTGAGAAAGCAGTATATTATGACATCTTAACAGACTATGTACATTCGTTTAAAACGCTATGTGCGTTGAATTTTGTGAAGCACCTTAGTTTGAGAATGACTTGGTTACAATATACAAATGAACTTTTTGGAATACAGTATTTCCATATTCATATATTTACCTTTGATGTTCTCTGCTCGAAACAGGTTGACTGTACTTAGACGTCAATACTTTCATCTGATGATCCTTCTCGTAGCACACACGGCCAATTATAGTACAATATAATTATATTATTATTAAACCTATTAATGTATGCTTATTATAATTATTGTATTTATATATTTAATTTTTATTGTCGTAAATTTCTTGTCCAAGAATGTGTGACAAAGGACACATAGGCCTAATGGACCTTTCCGAAGTGTCAAATTTACGTTAAAACCGGGACACAAAAAGAGACAATCTGACAAAATAAAAAAAAAGGGCTAGAAATACGTGCGTGTCCCACAAACGTTAGTATGTTTTAACTATAGAGATATAATAAGAATGTTAATTACTCCCATTCTTAAAGACCTTCATTGTCTTAGCATTAAGCAACGGATAATATTCAAGATTCTTTTGCTTGTTTTAAATCACTCTTTTTTAAACAACCATCATTTGCTACATTTTCTTACGCCATACTCTCCAACTCGTACACTTCGTTCTTTTGATAAATTTCTTCTTCAAGCCCCTTCAAAAAGGAAAAAACTAAAAACATGGACAACGCTCTTTTTCTGTTCAGGCACCTTATCTTTGGAATCTATTACCTCTTTCTGTTCGACAATCTTCAAATTTAAACTCATTTAAAACTAATTTGAAAACTTTTTTGTTTACAAAATCGCTTTAATTGGGTTAATTCTTACTGCGGCTTTGATAATGTTTTTTGAATTGGCGTGTTATAAATTTCTGCATATTATTATTATTATTAATAGCTCTATGGTTTTAACACTGACGTTTTGTGCGATCTTAGCACCAACACCCAAGGGGCGGGGCTTAGCGGAACTTCCATTTAAATAATAAACATCAAATCATGATTATTCATCAAGTCTATTTAAGACGCCGCAGAGGCTACAGTTTGCAAGTTCAACCACGTCTGCTTGGGTTAAGATCGTTTAAAAGACCATTTTCACATACTATGTTTGCGTTCGGATGTAGTGACCTTTTCAAATCATTACCGTACTATTATTAAGTTTATGTGACCAATAAATGACCCACTGTGTGTGTATTGCAACATGACGCTGTAATAATATTACTCCAAACTATGGACTGTCTGTAGATTCATAGGGGCGGATCCAGAATTTTTCAAACGGGAGGGGGCGGGGGGACAACATCACAACAGATAAGTGAATAGCGCTTTTCAATATATAACATTGATATGCATTGAAATTTTAAAATTTAAAACGGGGGGGAGCAAGTCCCCTACTGGATCCGTGCCTGCAACGGATGCGAACCATGAATCTTTGATACAAAATTAATGTTTGTATTAATTATGTAAATGAAACCAAAACCGACTAGCTTGTAAGCTATAAAAAAAAAAATGTTGTCTTTTACTTTTTAATTGATTTATTCCACTTTGTATTTTTGTATTTCAAAGTAAAGAATTAGTGTGCAATCTATTAATCTGAAAAAAGTCTGCAATATGGATTTTTTCCTATGAAAAATTAACAATGATTTTAAAAGAAATAATGCTAACACAGGAGGTATAACAGACTGGAAAGTAACAAACAAAAGCTGAAGTTAATTGAATCAATACAGACACGTACAACCTGAACGTTCCGCCTGTTGCATCGATGATGATGTTACGGTCAGTTACATACGTTAGTTCCAGTCTTTTTCTTTGGGGGACTGGGGTGTTCCCCTCCTGTTTGTTATGAGTTAAGTAGGTTATCTGTGTGATAACTCTTCTCCCCCTTAATCTCCGGTTATGGTGTCCTCATTCCTGATGATGACATAATTAATGTCAAAATATTGAATCCTGACACGATGGCGTACATTTCGATACTTGGAGTACGTATTATACTATTTTATATGGTGTCCTCGTGTACAGCAGATTTATAAGGGGTGAGAATATAGACATGAGGTACAAGCTGTAATTCCTGGAGTGTGTTTATTCACAAGCATACTTGTTATATTTTGGCCAGGTATGGCCTGCCAGTCTCGCATACAACCATGTTACTCTACACCACTAATTTCTTAAGCTGGTCCAATGACAACTGATTGCTGATTGATAAGTTTTTACAATTTATTTCATATAATTATATAAAAAATTGTTTTCCAGATTAAGATTTAGATACAATACTAGAAAATGTAAATACAGTGTTCTACCTGTTTAAATCATAGAAACAAAATTATGTAGAAAATAATATAGTATTTAGTATATTCTGTAGAATAGTGAACAAGATTTAAAAATAGCAATTTACATCACCATAATTCATATTTGAAAAAATATTGAACTGAAATCAAGTAAGTTAAAAACTCATATTAAGAAACAGAGTTTAGCTGTCAGTGATTTACAGATTTTTTCTCTTAAAAATCTGTTTTAATGTCCAATATACTTATATATATTTTTTTACAGCCTGTCCACAAAGCAAGCTGAGGTATCTAAGCCTGGCCAGAAATGGACAGCATGAGGCTCGAACTCCCAACCACAAGGTTGAAAACCTGAGCAGCAACAGCTGCGCCAACCGCTTTTGTCTATACAGTATTACTATATATGACATGATTTAGCTTGTAACAAACGCTTTAAAATAATAGATTTAACATGCAATGACAACACATTTAAAAACATGTCTAGTTTGAAGATTGTAGCACAACAAAATCATCTTCATCATCCTCATCAAAATTCTTATTAGAATCGTCATCATCATCATGATCACCATCAGCATCAATTGACAGATCTTTGTTGCTAGGAGATAAAGTTTTCTCAGAATCTAGAGCAGGGACATCTTCATCTTTGCGAGTCTCAACTTTTTCTTCAATCTGTTCCGCTTCAGAGCTGTTGCCTTGACTAGATTCACACAGTTCTGGAATTGTCTCATGTAATCTGTTCTTATTCTCAACATGTGATGGCAGCAAACATATTTGTGGATCTTCAGATTCTTTGTTCTGTTCAAAACTGGATTCTTGGACAGGTATGCTTCGCGTAACATCACCTGGGCTGGCATCTTTCTTCTCTGGAGATGCCTGGAGTTGGCCTGTTTGAAGTAGTTTTGTAATAACCTGTAAAAACAATACAAATCCTAATAAATTGTCTTAATAATAATAACAACAATAATAGTAACAATAATTAATATATCTTATTAATTTACTTTCAAGAGGGTGACCTATCTGAAATGCTATTCGGTAGGGGTCTTCATCCCGTACATACCAAAATAACAAAATACAAATATAAATGATAATTAGTCATTTTAGAACATTCACAATATATATAGCTATATAATGAAAGATAATATTCATCCACTCTTTAGCAATTATTAATTACGATTCTAGCTACACACTTGTAGCATTAACATTATTGTAATTCAAATAAATAATAATAAAATATAATACAGCAGAACGGCTCCTTTAGGACATCTGTATTAAGGGGCACTAAACAAGGGAAAGTATATCTTTTAACGCTACAGCCAACACCTAATCAGGGGACACCCTAATATTAAGGGGATACTTTTTTGGTCCCGAAGTATACAGAATAATTTAAAAATCCTATATTACATATATAAAACTACACATATTTGAAATATTTCATGGCCAATAAATGAAAACCGACTACGTACCTCTTCCACAATTTCTCGATACTGTCCCGTTGGACTTTCACTATTCTGGGATATTTCACTAGTAAATGACTGGTCTGCTGCCGTGCTTGAAATCTCGCTTGTTCTGTGTGATTGCCTGCCGTCAACATTATCTGAAGACCGCCTGAACCTGCCTCGATTTTCAGCTTCAAGACTTAAGTTTCCTCTTGATCCAAGCGTACTAGGTGGTAGCGTTGGGGAGGGCGTGTATTCATGATAGCTAGTGCTATATTCAAGTCTTAAATGCTGCTGTACAACCTAAATAACATAAACAAAAATTCAGTAAATTAAAAAAAAATTAAATTGTTTATATCAATTTCAAATTTCTGTAATTTTTTTTTTTTTACAGATACTGAAAAAGAAAAACTAATTTCCATTTTTATTGGACAATACTGTTTATATCGTCTTACCAAAAGATCTCAATCAAATCATGATTATTATATATCAAAATATATGGTAATTCTTACCTCTTCGATCATTTGCCTGGAAGGTGGTTGGGTGACAGCTGGTGGGGGATGGGTGTTCCCCTGTCTGGAGCATCCAAAATACAAGCAAAATAAAACCACAGCCAAAGTTAGAAGCCATGAAACAAAGGCTGGGATCCAAATAAGTTTTGGCATGTTTCCTAAAAACTCATTGTGGAATTCTGCGACTGCCTTTCCTAGCTCTCCTGCTGGAGCAAACAGCAGAACAGCAACTGTTTTGGTGAAGGCCTGCATATTAAAAAGATTGAGTAGAAATTGTATTAAAAAATATTCCATAGTATCTGTAATTATCATTTTGAACTGATTAACACACCTTCTCAAGTATGGTGAGTTTATGAAAATGCTGTTAGGTATGTATTTATTTAAGCCATCAATATTATAGATCTTTAAATACTTGTAATTGTATTTTTATACTGCATTGTTGTTTACTTTTATTTTTTGTAGTTTTTATAATTCATTTTAAATTTTAACTTTGTTTCCAGGGCTCGAAGGAAGACCAGCCTTTTTGACTGGTTGTACCATCCTGGTTAAACATTGTCAATAAATAAATCAATTATAGCAATTGCTAATCTTTGGTTACGTTAATTGTAAATAATTCATGTAAATTTTTAAATGTGGTTTTTTGAATGTTTCCTAATTTGATGAGATTTTTTTTGTTAAATATTTATAATTTAACATGACTGATGTTATACTTTATTGTTTTTTAATTGTTTAATTAAATTATTAAATTGTAAATACAAAACATTCAGCTTTTGCTGCTTCATTAATCGTTTGTTTTAAAACCGAAATAAAAAAAAGAGAGTTGATAATAACTTTTTTTAGTAGTAATACTGGGCTAATTGTGGCTTATGTTTATTTTCTAATAATAAATAAATAAAATCATTACCTTTACTGGTGAAACTTCCAAGATAGGATCAATCATATACCTCTTATGATACTCTTTGCATTCATCCTTAATTGTCATTTTTTGGAAGAATTGTTTTATTGCTTTCCATGTGGACAATTCTACTCCAGAACGACAGTACTCTGGGATGTCTTTCTGTTTCATCATCTCAGCGTGACGCTCAGCAAGCTTCTCCTGTAAAGGTTAATGTTAGAGAGGTTAAAGGTTAAAAAGATATTTAAATATACTAAAAAGTTATTAGCTTTCAATTATAAATTATAACAAGTTTTTTAACTAAAATGTTTTCCTCTCAAATTAATACATAATTATTACAGTGGTCAAATAATTTTATCTGGTTTATCAATTCAAATATTGACAGCTGCGACAAATATGGTGATGGCGCAACGCCACCGATGTTGATTATGCTAGAAGAGGAAGCAAGTTTAAAATATTTGGAATTACCTGATAGAGCTGAAGCCAATTCCATGGAACACTTATCACAAACACAATGACAAATAAAATCAAAAGCTGGTTCTTCCATGTCAGTGAGGTTTTCATTTCAAATGCTACACAACAAATTAGTCCGAAGACAGAAGCAATTATCTGAAATGAAATCAGGAAAAAATATTTATTCATGTATGTCTGTATTAATTAATTCATCAATCAATTCTTAATTTATTATTTTATACTTCCATTCATAGTGGTTTTTACGTATTGTCATATCAAACCTACCTATGGGCAAATCATATACAGTCGAGTCCGCCAAAGTCGACTCTGTTTAAGTCGAAAATTCGTGTCAGTCGAATTTTTTAAAAAGTCCCAGTTCTTTCCTATGTATTACTGTGTAAATTGTTTGTTTAATTCGATTTTTTATAAGTTGAATTTCGGCTATATCGACGGAATTTTCCTGTCCGGATAGGCCGATTTTAAAGTAATTTCAACCACACAAGTCGAAGTTTCAAATTTAGTAGCGCACGTGGGAAAAATACACAGCCGTGGGAAAATACGAAGTTCAATCCTTGTTGTACGGCAACAAGTTAGCCATGTCAAACTAACACCTTAGACAGCGCGCTGCGGAACTTGGCTCACATGATCGTATGTCGTAAGTTACAGTCTACTCTCACAATACAGACACCCCTCCGGACTGGCTCCAATGTTCAGTTTGTCGTCCAGTTCAGTTTATAGAACTTGTATTGAACCCATTTTGAACAAGATTGTTGTAGTCTGGGCCTAGCTATTTAATTAATTTATCAAAGCCCTGGATTCTTTTGACTGCCTAG